AACAACAACAACAACAACAGGAGATTTGCGGCTTTATCTACTACAATAATGAATTCTATAATGTTTGTCAAGTGTCTATGGGGCTCATCATCCTCCATGATTCTCCTCTTAGCCCACTGTGTTCATGATTCATTTTCATCTATTTCTATTGGATAAGGGCCGTGGATGGAGTGAGATGAATAGTTGCCATTCTCAGGTATAGGTTTCTTCGGTTCCCAGATGTTTTCTTGTGAGAGTGACCTTGGAGAAAAAATAAATTGCATCTCGAAACATTCCAGTGACTCTCCTTCTTCCTTTTCTATGAGGAACTGATAGTCGCTGAATCGGACCATGCACTTATTTGGCAGAGTCATTTTATTGAGGTAGCCCAGCTCCTTGTTGTCCACAATCAGACTGGTCTTCTTACTCATATTTTTAATTTCAAAAGAGAGAACTGAGCTATTGAAATCTCTAAACAGCTGCAGAGAAAACTGTACTCGGGAAACCTGTTTGTCTTGAAAGGTATAATGACAGATGTTGGAATTTCGGCCAAATTTCACCACCTCACTGGAGGGGAGTTTCTCTCGGTTAGAAAAGTTTATTGATCGAAATACTCCACTTTGAAACTGTCCAGGATGGTAAAGAGTCATCTGGAGACAAGTTACCGTCTCTTCCGTGTCAGCATCCTCAAAACTTGACATGATGTACACAGGAATCGGACACACCTACAACAAGGAAACCAACCACGTTAATTCTCAGCCAGATAATTCACTCCCATACTTTGTACACTGAGATCTTCTGACTCTAAAATTTTGAAAAGTGTCTTCTGATAGATGATTTATTTAGACTTTAAGAAGATAAAAAATAGAGTACACCATCAAGTAACTAACAGCTGGGTGAATTTTATAACAAGCTCTGGGTGATACTAACAGCAAAGCACTTGACTACTAGCCTAAAGGTTGGTGTTTCAAACCCACTCCAAGGCACTTCAGAAGACAAGCCTAGCAATCTATTACCGAAAGGTCAGAGCCTTGAGCACACTATGGAGCTATTTCTCCTCTGCACACATGGGGTCTCCATGAGTCAAAATCAAATCAGCAGCAACTAAAAACAACAAAAGTATTATCCTTTTTTTTGTCCAGAAAATTTTAACAGGTTTATTTTATTTATTTATTTATTTAAGGTTTTTATTGTGGATTGAGTGACAGTTTACAGGGCACATCATCAGTTTCACATTCAACAATTCATATAACTTGTTTCATTACATTGATTA